TCTAGGAAGGGTTGACCATGCACTGCTGGATTTCACATGGTGTTCTACCCCTTAGGCACATGGAACTGGGAGACCTTGCTGGTGAAGAAAAAGGCAAGGGGTACCTGAACCCTACCCACACCTGCTTTTAGCAAATTCAGCAGTGTCCAAACAGTCTCTTTGTTTCTTCTTTAACTGTTTCTGGAGTAGGAACAGCTCATCCTTGTGCTCTTGAACTCCATCTCAAGTGTTCTTATTCTGTGGGAGCTCTGACGTTCATAAATCCAACTGCATTTCTGAATTCCTCCTTTGTTTTTGATCATTGTATCCACATCTTGCATGGTTCCTGTTTTCTATGGAGCTTCCCTCTGAGCTTTTTGTTTCCCAAAGCTTCTCTCCTGATACCTCTGCTTGTTGTCCTGAGTATTGGTGTGACCCCACTCTTGTACTTGAAAGACTCTGGCCTTGCAGAACAGCTGTACTGAGCTCTGCTGCCCCTCTGTGCTGCTCACATGGGCTCCCCCACTCAAAGTCACAAGACTTGTCCTGCTCCTTTGAGGTCTGGCATCTGCCCTCTTCTCCTTCCCCTTGGGAGGTGAGACCCCACAATTTCACAGTCAAAACGGTCAAGGCCAACACTGGTTCTCACACCCACGTCCACATCTTCCTTCTTTGAGAGTAAGAGATGCAGATGAGCATCACCATTTTTGGCCAATCTGTCCTGAGCTGTGCCTTGACCAAGATCCTCCAAGAAACTCCAGGGCCGTTTTTGTGCTGCTCTGGTCCCCTTCCAGTGAATGCCAGGGTCATTACAGCCGGCAAAGGGAGTTTAATAGATTCTTTACCACCCATGACAATGTCACCCTTAACTCAACTTGTTCGTCCTGCAGAGGAGCTCCCCACTTCTGAGCAGCTCCTTCACACTGAGGGCACCCCCTAGGGCACCTCCCTCCTGACCTTTCTGGCCTCCTGATCAGCCTGAACCCTCCCATCACAGTCCCCAGGCATGTGATCTGTCCCAACACCCCTCCAGCTGTTATTTCCTCCAAGTGGAAAGAAGAGGTTGCACACACAGCTCCAGCTTCTCTTCTCTGTGCTACAGGCTGAGGCCGTTGGGGCATGTCTGGGTGGCAGCTGTGGCACATTTGGGCATTTGCAGTGGAAAAACCTACTTGCAAGTACCCAAGACCTCATCTGTGCATGAAGACATGAGATGCCCACAAAGAGAGCAAACCCTGCTTGTGCCAAGGCCAAAGAAAAACAGAGAGGGGCTGTGCAGTTGGAGCAGGAGAGGGCTTTGCTGTCTGTTGTGTCTCTGCAGCCCTGAGGGCCTGTGGTGGAAGTGAAGCTGATCTCAGGCAGGAAGAGATGATGTTGAAAAAGTCCTTGGTGTGGATATGCTGGGATTCAGGCCCACTGTGGAAATCCTTGGCCTGATCCATGGTTGTATCATCAAGATGATGCTTGAACACTGGAGGCGAGAAGAACCAGTAGAGTTTGAGAGTGAAGGAGCACGAGTGGAGACCCTGGTGTGATGTGCTTGGTGTTCATGCTCTGGCCGGCATCTACTGGATAGAGGAGGGACAGCCCTTGTGTCGCTGCAGTGGTGGGATTCAGTCACTGGCCCAAAGGCCCTGACTCTGTCTGAGATGCCCTGGGGGATGGCTGTCACTCACCTGGTCTGAATAGGGACAGGGTTCCTGTCCAGAACCTGTGCTGTCCATGGCAGGTGCAGGCAGTTGTGTTGCAGAGCCCTGGCACCTCCCACACCACCACAGGCCTCAACTGGTGACTTACATTAAGACTCAGCTGCCCTGAATTAGGTGAAGCAATGAAGGGATGCCCAGGAGACAAGTGCCAGACAGAGAGAGACTCAGCTGTCCCTGTGCCACACGACTCCATGGGGTCAGCTGGATCCCTCTCTGGGCTGCCCTGGACAGCAGGACAGTTACAGGGTCACTTCTCCTACATGTGGGCACCTTGACTCATTTAAGAGCTGGATCCCTCTCTGAGCTGCCCTGGACAGCAGGACAGTTACAGGGTCACTTCTACATGTGGGCACCTTGACTCATTGAAATTTGGCAAAGGAATCTCCCACCCTCAATCAATCCCTTCCCTCAGCAATGGCAGAGGAGATCATTCCCTGTCCCTGTCTGGGTGTCCTCTCTGAAGATGGGACAATGATAAGGGGACTCATGGGCCTCCCTCTTTTTGTAAGGGCAGAAATGCCAGTGCAGGAAAGAGGTGTCCGTCCCCTGCTGAGAGAGAGAAAACAAGGGATTGCATCAGCCTGTGTCACAGCAGGTTCCCCTGGAGCCCCAGGGACACCTCAAAGAGGACGCCCAAAGGGGACAGAAGAGGTGCTGCCTTGGGCTGTTCCTTTGCTGCTGAGCTGGGCCGGGCTCCTGGGATGGAGGGAGCTCCTGGCCATGGGGCAACCTGCAGAGAGACAGCTCTGCCCAGGAGCAGCTCCTCTGCCAAGCGCAGCAGGGCTGGGGGCACTGCCTGCAGGCAGGGAGAGGAAATATGTTAGACCAGGAGAGTTTAAAGCATTCAGGAATGGGAGACAGGTGAGAGCTCACTGAGGGAGAAACCTTCCCAACCTTTCACATGGTAAGTATCTGGCTGCAGGGCATTGACTCTGCAGTTGCTGGAGGGATCCAGAAGCTGCACAACCCACAGCCCACGGGACCTGTAAATACCACTCTCACAGTTTCTGTGGTGCAGAAGAGAAGCACAATGTGTGGAGCAGGGCTTCCCTGCTGCAGGGGCAGCGGGACAGGGCACAATGTGTCTCTCTGGTGCAGTATAACGCAGAGACGCTTCCTGGAGCAGTCTCCTAAAGCTGGCATAGCCATGTCTCATGTGATCTGTCAGGAAGGCTCTCAAGGATGGGTCAGTGTTTAGAAGGATGTGCTTGAAAGCAGGGCATCCCCACCACATCGTCAAAGGGAGAGGACATGCCAGTTTCCTTCTCCCAGGGGTGACTGCAGGGCTGTGAAAGTGGGTGTGCAACCAGGAATGCTCAGGGCTGTTCTTCTGAGCAGGGTCTCTCTGTCCCAGAGAAGTGTGTGCTGGGGCAGGGGCCTTTCACGCTCAGTTCTCCGCCTGGCTGGGGAGCTCCCCATGGCAGGGAGGGGAGAAGCTGTGGAGGGAAGGAGTGACCCCAGTCTGGGCACGGCAGGGTCCTCCTGCAGTTGAGAGGATGCTGCGTGGGTCAGGTTTGTTCACAGCTCCAGATCACCCCCAGGACATTTGCAGAGGGTCTTTTTGAAGAAGGACTTTCAGGCAGCATTTACCTGAAGGAAAAGGAATCTGGGCTTTGAGTTTTCCCCTCTTGGTGGGCTGGATGGGTAGTGGGAGATAGGACATTAGATTACCATTCTGGAAAAGGCAATAAGACCACAGGTCCCGTTGGAAATTTTTGAGCTACTCCTTGGCCCATCGTTGGAAATTTTTGAGCTACTCCTTGGCCCGTGGATGTCCCTGTATGTCCCTGGGCCATTCCCTGCTGCAGAAGGGGTCTGCAGGGCAGAGCTGAGCCCTCAGCAGCTGGGAAGGAGCCTCTGAGCACTGAAAGGGAGGAGACCTGGGGACAGAGAAACATCCCCTGACAGGGACAGTCCAGGCAGCAGAGCCATGGGCAGGGAGTGAGAGGGAGCTGCTGCAGGAAAGGTGATGGGAGGGGGGATTCCAGCACCTCCCTGCCATCCCCTGCAGGGCAGGTGCCTTCCCTGGGGTAACTCCCTGGTCTCCTCTCCCACACAGTAGAGTCTCCAACCCCTTTCATATCCGGTGGACTTAGTCCTGAGTGTCCTTCCCAGCAGCCCAAGCACCAAAGTGGAGAAATGCTGGAGTGTTTGACTGTGTCTCTCTGTCCTGACTCTCTTGGCAGGAGAAATTTGGGCTGTTCCCCTCTTGGCCCTGCTGCCCTTGTTCTTCCCCTTGTTTTGGCTGTGGTGGGGGGTGAGGATTCAGCTGCAGCTCAGACACTGATGCTGCATGTCCCATCATGCAGGTGTGTCCGTTGAGGAAAAGTATCCAAATAACCTTGGGGCCTATGGGAGCTGCAGCGCGTGGGGCTGGGAGTAAGCTGACCCTCCTGTCAGGATACCCCATCTTTAAGATATTTTACTCTTTCCTCTGAGGGTCCTGTTGGGTGCCACACTGCCCTCCAGAAGGACACAACTCTCCCTTGGCATCTCTGTGTTTTCCAGGAGCCCCATGGAGTAGAGATGACAGTACCAAGGCCACGTCAGTCCTACTGGAGGGCTGAATGTGGGCAGCTGCAGTGAGCCATCTGTGTCCCTGGCTGGGAGGGCAGAGCTGACATCCTCCTCGGGTCCAGTGAGATGGCGTGAGGGCTTGGGAGAGCTGCATTTGTGAATTTTGCTCTTCTGCTCTCAGCAGTGTCTGCTTTTTTTCAGAGGAACTTTCGGGTTGTGATCATCCTTTGGCTAGAGAGGTACCAGCCCAGGGCAGCAGAGAGCACTACTGATGGACAGATGCAGTACTGATTGCAGCACTGCTCCCTGACTGTGTGCTGATGACAGGACATCATCAATACTGATGGCCGCACTCTGCACTGAGGGACAGTTTCCTTGGCCCTTGGGACTCAAAAGGTTTCACTTGGGCTGCAGGAGAAAAACCAAAGATTTCTGCCTTAAAAACAGTCCTCAGATGTGGTGGGGAAACTAGAACCAAAAAAAACACCAACCCAAAAACAAACAAGGTGCTGTCAGCTCTTCTCTGCAGTTGAGTGAATTGGGATCAACAAAGCCAAAAAGCCCTTTGATGCCGTGAGTGGATTGAATCTGAGGTCACTCCATGTTCCTAGTTACTTGTTGCTGTACAGCTCCCTGAAGGCCCATGAGCCAGAACCACCCATAGTGTGCACAAAAGTGACATTGAAAGGTCTTTCCAAAAAGGGGAGCAAAAGTTCAGTGGGTCTCAAAGAGCAATTGAAGAAATATTTTTGAGAGACCACTGCCCTAACTTCTCACTGTCTTTCCTTCCATGTACAGAGGAAGCAGATGTCCAACAGCAGCTCCATCACCCAGTTCCTTCTCCTGGCATTTGCAGACACACAGGAGCTGCAGCTCTTGCACTTCTGCCTCTTCCTGGGCACCTACCTGGCTGCCCTGCTGGGAAATGGACTCATCATCACCACCATCACCTGTGACCACCGCCTCCACACCCCCATGTACTTCTTTCTCCTCAACCTCTCCCTCCTTGACCTGGGCTCCATCTCCACCACTGTCCCCAAAGCCATGTCCAATTCCCTCTGGAACACCAGAGCCATCTCCTACACAGGATGTGCTTCCCAGCTCTTGTTCTTTCTCTTCTTTATCACATCAGAGTATTGTCTTCTCACCATCATGGCCTACGACCGCTACGTTGCCATCTGCAAACCCCTGCACTACGGGACCCTGATGGGCAGCAGAGCTTGTGTCCACATGGCAGCAGCTGCCTGGGGCACTGGGTTTCTCTATGCTCTCCTGCACACGGCCAGTACATTTTCACTGCCCCTCTGCCAGGGCAATGTCCTGGACCAGTTCTTCTGTGAAATCCCCCAGATCCTCAAGCTCTCCTGCTCAGACTCCTACCTCAGGGAAGTTGGGCTTATTGTAGTTGGCGTCTTTTTACTCTTTGATTGTTTTGTTTCCATTGTAGTGTCCTATGTGCAGATCTTCAGGGCTGTGCTTAGGACCCCCTCTGAGCAGGGTCGGCACAAAGCCTTTTCCACGTGCCTCCCTCACCTGGTCACGATCTTCCTGTTTGTCAGCACTGGAGTGTTTGCCCATCTGAAGCCCCTGTCCATCTCCTGTCCATTGCTGGATCTAGCGGTTGCAGTTCTATACTCGGTGGTTCCTCCAGCAGTAAATCCTCTTATCTACAGCATGAGGAACCAGGAGCTCAAGGAGGCCATGAGGAGACTGATTTCATGGACATTTTTCAAGAGTGACAAATTTGCCACCTCTCCCCAGCAATGACTCCCACAGGATCTGATTATGTCCAATTTTTTTTATTTATTTGTAATTTTGTATCATTATACTTATCACGATTGCTCTTGTTATTCTCATTCATGTTTATTTTATTTCTGCAGAAATGTTTGCATTTGCATCACTTCACCTGAGACATGGACCGTCTTTGTGTCACCTGGTTCCCTTACAAAATTGTGTTTCACAGTGGCTCAGATCTGGCCTCTTTCACAGCATCTCTGTAAGAACATGGGATCTCCCCAGTGTCGTGCTTCCATACCAGAGTCTTTCTCCAAACAGGTCTGAGGAACTGCAACCCTGAAGTTCTTCTTCCTCCATGTGTTAAAAAATGCAAAGCTCTGACATTTTAGAGATGCAGGACTGGATTTAGGAGTCACCAGTTGGGATCTGGTGACAGGTAAGATGGTGAGTGGAACTGAGGGATGTACCCAGGGCTTTCCTACAGGTGACAATAAGAACACCCATCCTCTGGGAGGGGAATGTGGAGTGGCCTGGAGAGCCTGGTGGTTCTCCTGGGTCAGCGTGTTCCATGGGTTGTTTAGGGATGGAAGAGGTCAGTCAAGATGGGGTTTGGGGCGAGTGGAACTGAGGGATGTACCCAGGGCTTTCCTACAGGTGACAATAAGAACACCCATCCTCTGGGAGGGGAATGTGGAGTGGCCTGGAGAGCCTGGGGGTTCTCCTGGGTCAGCGTGTTCCATGGGTTGTTTAGGGATGGAAGAGGTCAGTCAAGATGGGGTTTGGGGCCTTTAAAACAGGACAACTGCAGACCTGCTCTGGGCACTCTCCAGTTCCTCCCCATCTCTCTACAGCAGGAATTCTCACAGAGGTACATGCAGGTCCAGGTGTGGCTACACCACGGCTCACTGGAGGAGGGTGAAAACTGAAGATATCTGGGGTGTCCAGGCTCCTCCTAATAAATGTGTGTTTGCAGTTGGCCTTGTTCATGGTGAGCGTGCACCACTGTATGGTGTCCTTCGTAGTACCCAGGCCCTTCTCCTTAGGGTCACTGCTCGGTTCTTCAAGTTCCCTGAGATATCAGGTTTTTATTCCCCTGATGCAGGACTTGCCCCTTCTCCTTGTAAAACTTAAGAGGTTTCTGTTTCGTGCACAGGTACAGGTTAGGGGTTGGTTCACCTGTGTTATGGTTTGAGAAAACCCATAACCATCTATTGTCATTTAGACAATTATTCTATCACCCAATGACCCCTCTCTGCCCCGGAAAGGGAAATCAGGGAACACAAGGAAACACAAGGGCTGAAATATAAATAGATTTACTAGACTAAGACTAAATAATTAACAATAATACTAAAGAACCAGTATTAATCCCGATACTGATATAAGATACAGGAATTATACTCAGCCAATTATATCAGCAGGAAGCTGTGCACTCCCAGCAGGGACGGCAAATGTTGGACACTGCCGGCGCAATGGCTTCAGGAGGAAGGGAAGGCCTCAGGGGTCTGGCATCGGGGCAAGGAGTTGTCTGGACCCGACGCCATCAAGGGAGAGAGAGCTCTGCAGCAAACTTTTCTAATTTATATTGAATGTGATGTTCATGGTATGAAATAATCCTGTTGGCCAGCCCGGGTCAAATGCCCAGGCCTTGCTCCTCCTTGTCCCTGCACTTGGAAAGGCTCAAAAACACTAAGACCTTGAATCCCACAGAGCCTGGCTGGCTGTAAAGTAAATATTTTCACAAATTCAGACACAGAGTCTTCGAGAAGTGCAATTTTCCCCAGCATTGCAAGAAATGTTAGTCCTGTCTCTCTCAACCCAGGACAACTTGGTAGAAAGCAGCTGTGCAGAGAGGAACCTGGGCGTCCTGGTGGACAACAAGTTGACCATGAGCCAGCAATGTGCCCTTGTGGCCAAGAAGGCCAGTGGTGTCCTGGCGTGCATTACAAAGAGTTGGCCAGCACATCTAGGGAGGTCATCCTAGGTGTTAGTCCTGTCTCTCTCAACCCAGGACAACTTGGTAGAAAGCAGCTGTGCAGAGAGGAACCTGGGCGTCCTGGTGGACAACAAGTTGACCATGAGCCAGCAATGTGCCCTTGTGGCCAAGAAGGCCAGTGGTGTCCTGGCGTGCATTACAAAGAGTTGGCCAGCACATCTAGGGAGGTCATCCTAGGTTACTCAGGAGAACCTCCATCCTCTACTGGATAAGGGAGGTAACATAGTGACAAAGGATGAGGAGAAGGCTGAAGTCCTGAATGCCTTCTTTGCCTCAGTCTTTAGTAGTAGGACAGGGGGTTCCCTAAATATCCAGACCCTTGAACTAGCAGGCAGGGGCGGGGAGCAGAATGAAGCCCCTGTAATTCAAAGGGAGGTAGTGAGGGACCTGCTCCAACACCTAGATGCAAACAAGTCTATGGGACCAGATGAGATCCAGCTGAGGGTACTGAAGGAGCTGGCAGAAGTGCTTGTGGAGCCACTCTCCATCATTTACCAGCAGTCCTGGCAAACTGGGGAGGTCCCAGCCGACTGGTGTCTGGCAAATGTGACGCCCATCCACAAGAAGGGCCAGAAGGATGATCCAGAGAACTACAGGCCTGTCAGTCTGACCTCGGTGCCTGGGAAGATCATGGAACAGATCATCCTGAGTGCCATCATGCCACACATGAAGGACACCCATGCGATCTGGCCCAGCCAGCACGGGTTCACGAGGGGCAGGTCCGGCTTGACAAACCTGATCTCCTTCTATGACAAAGTGACCCGCTTGCTGGATGAAGGAAAGGCTGTGGATGTTGTTTATCCTGACTTTAGTAAAGCCTTTGATACAGTCTCCCACAGTATCCTCCTGGAGAAACTGTGTGGAGGAATGGCTGTGTGAAAAGGGCCACAATTTAATTGCGAAAAGCAACCCAGTCTTTGATGTAGATAAAGGCCTGGAGGTGAACTCTCCTGGGAAAAGCAGAAGTATGAAGAAGTAGCTACTTGGTAGATAAGATAAACGGGACCGCATCCAGAAGAGGAGAGAATGTTGCTGCGCGTGGACAAGGGGTCTACACCAATTGTGTGAGTGCTCTAGTCGCGTGAACAGAGATTGTCAGCCAATCGTAGAGCTGTCGCTAGCGCGTGCTCTGCTTGCCTGTCTATATATACTTTGTAAAAACTTTAATAAAGGGAGAACGATCATACTCATATTGAGGTTACATCGTTACTCCGGGTCCGTCTCCCACTCCGACAAAACTGGCTGCCCATGGCTTGGATGGGAATACCCTCTGCTGGGTTAAAGACTGGCTGGAGGGATGGACCCAGAGAGTGGTGTGTCCAGTTTTGGGCCCCCTACCACAAGAGGGACATTGAGGTGCTGGAGCGGGTCCAGAGAAGGGCAACAAAGATGGTGAGGGGTCTGGAGCACAAGTGTTATGAGGAGAGGCTGAGGGAGCTGGGGTTGTTCAGCCTGGAGAAGAGGAGGCTGAGGGGAGACCTTATTGCTCTCTACAACTACCTGAAAGGAAGGTGTAGAGACGTGGGGGTTGGTCTCTTCTCTCAAGTCACAGGTGACAAGACGAGAGGAAATGGCCTCAAGTTACGCCAGGGGAGGTTCAGGCTGGATATTAGGAAAAAAAAAATTCACTAAAAGGGTTATCAGACATGGGAATGGGCTGCCCAGGGAGGTGGTTGAGGCACCATCCCTGGAGGTGTTCAAAAGACAGGTTGATGTAGTGCTGGGAGGGATGGTTTAGTGATGGTGATGCTTCTTGTTTGTTGTGCGGGTGTCTATTTTTGTCAGTTAGGTTGACGGCGTAACAAGATGATCTTTAAGGTCCCTTCCAACCTAGAAGATTCTGTGATTCTGTGATCCTGCCCCTCTGTTCTGCCTTGCTGAGGCCACATCTGGAGTACTGTGACCAGGTATGGCCTCCCAAGTTCAAGAATCACAAGGAACTCCTGAAGAGAGTCCAGCAAGGGATACAAAAACTATTAATAAGGGACTGTAGCACCTTTCTGATGAGGAAAGAGAGACCTGGGGGTGTCAAGCCTGGAGAAGACAAGACTGAGATGGGATCTCATCAATGCTTTTCAATATCTAAAGGGCAGGTGTTAAGAGGATGGGACCACATTATTTTCAGTAGTAGCTGGTGACCGGACAAGGGGCTACATACACAAGCTGGAACACAGGAAATTCCATCTCAACATGAGGAAAAACTTCTATACTTGAGAATGCCACAGCCCTGCAACCAGCTCCCAGGAGACACTCTGGACTCTCCTTCTCTGGAGATATCCTAACCTGGATCTGTCTCTGTCAAGTCTACTCTGGGTGACTCTACTTGAGTAGGGGGGGTCGGACTAGATTATCTCCAGAGGGCACTTCCAAACCTTTCTATTCTGTGATTCTGTTGGCAGATTGCCAGAGTTTCTTAAGGACTGAAACTATTTGGTCAGTTCTTTATGTTCTTTATGCATGCAGACACCTCACCACGGTTGCAGTGAGCCATCAACACAAGATAACAGAAAGAGCAGTTGCAGGATACGGTGTTTAATTAAAGGAGTTGCTAATTTTATATTGACCAACCCAGGAATCAGCACAACAACCCTCCTAGAAACATGATACAAGGGCACAAAACAAGAAGAGGCCAGGGGGGAAAGAGCAAAGTTGGGCTGTTTGTGGAGGAATCTGTGAGGATTGTTAGGGAGAAGGATTAGGCAGGGGGAAAAACACAAAAGGAAAAGCAAAACTTCAGCTCAGGATATGAAGATGCCTGATCACCTGCCAACCAGCCTTGAGTCACTGACTTGAGTGGGACACAAATGTTGCAGATGAGTGAACCAAACCTATGTCTGCTCACTTCTGTGGTCATGGGGAACCCGAGTGCTCTCCCTGGCATCCTCAAGGGAAGAGCCCTGCTGGAAGGAGATGCACAATCACTCATCCTGGAAGGCACCTCGGGAGGTCTCCAGGCCAAGACAATGGAGTAGAGAAAGGGAAATGAGGGTTGGGCTGTTTGCACCCTTGGTCATGTTAGTGGGAGACGTTTCCTGTA